TGAAATATCTTGATGATGTGACAAGGCGCTATACCAAATAGAAGGATTATTTTAAGCGCTCTGGCATGCCGTCCGGCATGAAGGGTGCTGTAAAAATGCACCCTTTTGCACCAAAAGTTGATGTATTATTAGTATAAGTATTATTGGAGATACAATCTTCCGGCTGAGGTGTTAAACCGAGACCCTGCCTATCGTTCAGGTGAACGTTAAAAGAAAATATTACAGCACTACCTGAAAAAGGGACCTGTCAATCAATATTTCATTAGTTGTATCCACTCCACACCTGCTGCAGAAAACCATATGCATAATCCATATGCCTTCCGGCTTGGCCCCACTGTGGATCCTATTCTGTGCTGAACGAACAGCTGGCCGACTCACTCGGTAAACAAGAGGAAATTTGAAGCCGAGAAACAGAAGAATGTCGACATCTTCTAACACTTTGTAATTACATACAAGACTCACTTCACTGCAAGCACGAACCAGGGACCCACTGCTGAGGTGGGACTGACCAATGTTGATTCTGAATGCACAGCTTGAAAAGCAGCGTTGAGTTTATTCCCTCTACAAATGCTGTTTCCCCCGCAACAGATCTCACTGTTTGTTACAGGAATCCAGTGAAATAAACCAAAGACATTTATATAATCATACAAATCGCCAGTGAAGGGAGGGGATGAGGGTGTAATTCCACCTAGATTTTTCTCAGCATTGGTAGCACTCTCATCTCTGAATCTGAAGGTTATGGGTTCAAGCTCTACACTGGGACTTGGTACCTGTATAGTCCATGCTAACACTCCACTGCAGTGCTTGGGATGTCCTGCATTGTCCGAGGTGCTGCCCTTTAGATGAGATACTAAGCTGAGGCCCTCTCGACTCTCTTCCTCCTCCTCGCTCCCTCCCTTCCCTCCCCTCACCCTGACCATTTCCCCCCTCCTCTCTCCCTCCCTTCCCTCCCCTCACCCTGACCATTTCCCCCCTGCTCGGGTCATGACCCAACTGTGCAGCGCCTTGGGACGTCCTCCTGACGTGAAAGGCGCTCTATAAATGGAATCTTGTTGTTGTTGTTGTTGTTGTCCATCTGAACTTTGAGGTGGATGTGAAAGATCCCATTGCACTACAGTATCTGAAGAGAGTAAGAAATTTCTTCCGATTTCTGGCCAACATTGGGGGCTCTTTGTGGGACATTGAGTCCAAATTGGACCTTTTCCAAACAACTGGAAACTATCTGGAGGATGTCCCAGCCTGGGTCACTTGGCTGCCCTGTCGCGAACCAGTCCATTGGAAACTTGTTTTTTGGCCATTCAGCATAAGTCAGTTTTGGCTCAGTCCATAACATTCTTGAATCTGGACCAGAAAGTGCTGGATTCAAGCTTCACACCAGGCATCAACACTCCAATGTAGCCCTGAGTTTACTATGACACGTTACACTTTTTATCCCCAAAGCGTTCGCTCTCTCAGGGTCCCAGGGCCACTGCATTGTCAGAGGTGCTGTCCTTCGGATGAAACATTTAATCGAGGTCCTGTCTGTCTGTTTAGGTGCATGTTAAAGTTGTCATGGGACATCGAGTTTCACCCAGTGTCCCAATAAAATTTGTCATTCGCTTCATGGTTATTTGTGAGACTTTGCTGCTGTAAATTAGCTGCCGTGTTCGCCCACCCAAAAAAAAGCCACATACTTTACAGTATATCCTGCGACTTAAACATGTCCTCCCAATGTGATAGATGCAATGCCAAATGTAAGGATGATTAGTACTATTATTTACTCCACCCATCATTATTTACTTCAACCAGAAGTTAAAGATCTTACAATAATAATAATCCTTGCATTTGATATAGTGCTTTTCACATCTTCAAGATGTCTCAAAGCGCTTCACAGAATATATGGCACTATTCAAAAAGAAAGAAGAGTTTCTTCCGGTGTCCTGGCCAACAATCCCCCAAATAAAACTAGTCACTCATTTCATGTTTGTGTAGGACATTGCTGTGTGTAAAAATTGCTGCCATGTTTCGTCGACAGAATACTCAGTGAATCTACAAATAACCTGGAGATGTCTCGAAGAACGTGATAAAAACAACAAGATTACATTTGTATAGCGCTTTTCAGGAGGATGTCCCACGGCGCTGGAAGGCGCTATATCAAATGCAAGGATTATTATTATGAGAAGCATCCAGAATTTGACAAATTATTGTAATTAGTCTTAACTTTGGTGTCTGTCTTTGCTGTTCTTAAAGGAAACTTATAGCAATAATATTACCTATCTGTAGCTTCATTTTCTTCAGGATTGGGTCAGCAGGATGTGGCCCTCTGGGGAGAGTCTGCGCACTCCATTCCAAACACAGGAGAACTTCCTTGTGTTGGTGGCAATGACAATTGTAATGTTTTTTTTTGGTCATTCGGGTGTCTGACACATGCGAAAATCCATCACTATGCTAAAGAGTATCCAAACCAAACTAAGATTTCCATGCATCTCACCTACACATGGAAATCCCAGAGATAGATTGTTGCAATAGAATTCACACTCTCTCCCTGTAGGGACACATCCTGGTTCCCTAATTCTGGAAAGTATTAGGCACAGATTGGAAAAGTTCCAACGCTTGGGGACCCCAGAGTGTGCGTTGGGGTATTGCTGGAGTCTAAACAGCGAAAACCTATAGCTTGCCATTGATATTGCTGTCCGACAAGTTTTCCCACTGTTTATCCAGCCAGGACCACCCTAACCATCAGGGCTTTGGCTTGCAGGGTTAACAGGAACTGAGTGGGATGACTCCCTGCCCCAGTGATTGGTCTGCCCTTCAGGTCCTGCCAATGAGCCAGGCTGGCTGTGCTGTCACCAGCAGTGCCTTGAAATAGTGTGGACTCACCTGGCTCAGCGACCAGACTATCGAGACCGCCAGAGGGCTGGCTCTATTCCGACATTTTATTACCAGGTTTGTCACCTTGGAGCCAGTTCAGCTCCAAGGACAATCTGCTTACCTCTCCCCCATGGAGGTTAAATAAATAAATTGGTCACTCGATCCACGACTGTTTGTGGGACCACTGCTGTGTGCAATTAGATGCTGTGTTTCACATTCAAAATATACAATCAACTCACTTTACAGTATATTCTGTGTAGTGATTCGAGGCGTCTCATCGACATGATAAGGTGCTATATCAAATGAAAGTATTATTATTTTTGTAGGCAGATGGAACCAGGAAACCGTGCACCTGATATGACATTTATTATTATACTGTAATTATTAAATCATACTTTATTAAATTGCACTGCTACTTGTCCTGTCAGAATAGATCTGTTAATCCGCACGCAAGGCAGAGACCGAATCTTGACTGAAATGAGGGTTTACCTGTCATTGCTCTGCAACCACAGATCTACAGCCCTCTACTCTCTTCGATCTGCTTTTAAGTATCTTTGCTTGATCTAACCCACACACAACACACACACAGCCTGGCAGACCAGCGGCTCTCCCCATCTCAAGCAGACAACTGACAACTTGTTGTGGCAAGAATATACATCTTCATAAGAAAGGGTATTTTTTCCCCATGTCATCTCCATTGCAGAGCGCAATGTAAATCCAAGAGAAACTTCTTTAAAAAATCTAAAAATAGATGTGCAAAATGAAACGTACTCTTGCGATTCTTCCCATCTCCTCTCTGCCTCTCCCAACTCATCCCCTTCCTCCTCACCCCCCTTTCCCCTCCCCCCACCCCGCTCTGCTGAGGGTACAGGGGTTCAAATGAAGGGTGTTGTGCAATCATCCCATGGTTCCCCTGCACTGAACACTAGATTGTTGTGATTCACTGGGAATTCACAGCCAAGGAGTGTGTGTGTGGGGGTAGTGGGGGTGGGGTTTTACTGCAGGGGTCCTAGCACCTGCAGAAACATATCCTTGGCCAAAACAAACAGAACAAAAATGAGCAGAATGCCTCCAGGAGAGGGGGAACGAATCACAGCAGCAGCAAGAACATGCAGCGTCCTTCAAGTCATCAACGTCTCAGAGTGTCTCACAGTGAATCATAATAATCCTTGCATTTCATATTAGTGCCTTATCATGTCTTCAAGACATCTCAAAGCGCTTCACAGAATATACTGTTTTGTGAGTGAAACGCAGCAGCCAATTGAGCACAGCAGTGTCCCACAAACAATCGTGGATTGATGTGACTAAATTATTATTAGCTTTTTTTGACGAGATTATCATCCCCGGAAAAGCCATCTGTACATGTATATATATGTATAGTCGAGTGTGCTTAATGATATTCTCTGTTGGACTGGACAAAATAAAATGATGCGGACTATTATAATATGGGGACTTCCTTTATAAACACTTGTAAACATTTCCAAACTGTTCTGGATGTACCAACATGTGTTCACGAACTCGGAACTACATGTTCCTACATGCAGAACAGCTTGGAAGTGCTTGCAAGTGTTTATCTGATGGCATTTGCAATTGTAAGGTTACGAAAAACTGTTAAAATAGTCAATATTTTACTTTAATTCCCGTGTAATCATTCCTTTTTAAATAAATGATTTGGGACGTTTTATCTTCGAAATTGAATCACAAAAGTGACAGCGATCTGTAGGTGCTAAAATACTGTACTGTAACAGACTCTTTTCATCGGACCATCCACCTGTCTATTTGTTCTGGATTTTAGGTGCCAAAGTAACAACAACAACAATTTGCATTGATATAGCACCCTTCACGCACGGTAGTATATATATTTACAAATTGTGGTGGTGAAACTTATGACTTATGTTCTTACACAGTTTGGGACACAACATGTCAAGCGACTGCTAGCGTGCTGGAAGACAAACTAGTTGGACCTTGATCTTCTTTCGCCTAACAAATTCTTATGCTCTTAAACTGAATGCATCAAGTATTCCAGACGGTGTCTGACCAAGGCTCTGTACAACAGAACAGAACACTTCCTTGCTTCCATCCATGACCTCATCCTGGACAAGCACCTTGACATTCTTGGGCTCACCGAAACCTGGCTCTCCCCCAATGACCCCGTGCCCCGAGTGGAAGCCTCCCCTCCAGGCTACACCTTCCACCACACGCCCCGTCCAAACCAACGTGGCGACAAGGTGGCCTTCATTTCCAAAGCCTCCCTTGGTCTTACCCCCTACTCCTCTGGCTGCTTCCCCTCTTTCAAGCACCTCACCCTCTTCCACCCCACTCTCCCATTGAAAATCTTCTGAAGCCCCCCCGGCTCCTTCCACACAGACATCTCTACTCTCCTCTCTTCCCTGTCCCTCTGCTCATAATGGGCCATTTCAACCTCCACCTAAACTCCCCTTGCACTACTTCTGCCAACTTCACTGCCCTCCTCTCCTCCTAAACCTCACCTTTATATAAATTCACCTACCCACAACTGTGGTCATGCCCTTGACCTCGTTATTACCCGCGGCCTTGACATTTCTGACCTCAGCATAGTGGACAAGGCATCTCGGACCACTTCCTCATCTTCTTCTGCTCTCACATCCCTCTCACCTCCACCAAGCCCTCAACCATCCTCTACTGCCCTTGGAAAAGGCTACCCCCTGAGACCCTCACGAAGGCCCTCACATCATCAAACATCCTATCCCTCTGTCCTTCCACCCGCAGAGATCCTGAAGCAGCCGTCCAGCTGCTCCATGATCGCCTCTCCTCCACCTTCAACTCCCTCATACCCCTGAAATCCAGGACCATCTCCAAACCCACCCAATCCCCCTGGTACAACAACCATCTCTGCCGCCAAAAAAACCAAACCCGTCTGTTCAAGCGCAGATGGCGGAAAACTGGGCTGACAGTTCACCGCCAACTGTGGCTCGAGCATCTCCACAGCTACCGCCGTTCTTTGAAACGCGCAAAAACGGCCTTCTACTCCAACATCATCTTGGAGGCTAAACACAACCCTAAAATCCTTTTTTTCACCACCCACTACCTCCACCTACCCGATCACCCCAGTCCTTGCCAGACTGCACTCGCTGCCTGTCCCAGGGACGATCGACTTCAAGATCCTCACCCTTGTATTCAAATCCCTCCACTCCTCTGTACTAACACTCTGACCTCCTCTCTCCTCAAAACCGTACCCGTTGCCTTTGTTACTCCGGGTCTGGCCTCTTCCTCATCCCCCGAGTCCTCTGCTCCAACCTCGGTGGCCGTGCCTTCAGCCACTATGCTCTGAGGCTCTGGTATTCCCTTCCTCACTGCCTTCACCTCGTTACCTCTCTTCCTATTTTCAGGTCTCTGCTGAAGACCTTTCTCTTCAACCGCACCTTTGGTCACCTTCTTCCCCTTCCCCCTGGCTCGGCCCCGGGATCCGTTACTGTGAAGCGCTCTGAGACACATGGAGGGTGCTATATAAATAATAATAATAATAATCCTTGCATTTGATATAGCGCTTTTCACGTCGGGAGGACGTCCCAAAGCACTTCACAGAACACACTGTGAAGTGAATTGACTGTATATTTGTGGCCGAACGCGGCAGCCAATTGCGCACAGCAATGTCCCACAAACAGTCGTAGATTGAAAATGACCAATTTATTATTGTTTTTGGTTTTGGAGGGATAAAGCCAAGTTGTTGTTGTTGCTTTTGTATTCCAAGCTCCTTGAAATAAAAGCCAACGTTCCATTAACCGTTTTGATTGCATTTTTGTTGTTGTTACTGCAACCAGGCTGACATGAGAGATGTCAAGGAGCTTCAGACGGAAAGTGGTGATAGATGGAAAAACGTTCAGAAAAATCTTTCGAAATTACTTTACATTACGTGAGAAAAATGGCAGGAAGAAAATGAAAGAGACTTACCAAAGTCAAAAAAACAATATTACGAATTGCAGACTTTGTTCACAATAAAGATTTTAAAAGTTAAGCTTTGTAAATACCAACAAAGGACAGAGACTGGCATTTACATCACCTCTTTGAGATATCATCCATTTCAATATTTATTCTTTGTACATTGGAGCCTTGCTATTTTGCTTGGCATCCATTAATTCCCAAGCCGCGTTATAACAAGGTTTAATAGATAATAATTAATAATCCTTCCATTTGACAAAGTGCCTTATCAGGTCATTCAGACGTCTCAAAGCGCTTCACGGATTATACTATAAATTGAATTGACTGTATATATTGTGGGCAAAACGCGTCGGCCATTTGCACACAGCAGTGTCCCACAAACAGTCGTGGATTGAGTGACCAAATTATTATTACTTTTTTTTGAATGGATTATTATTCCTAGAAAGCGATCCCCCAATCGACTAACTACAGGGTTCCTACTTAAAGATAGACAGAGGCATGTGGAATAAGGAAACTTGCCTAAGGTTTTGCCCTGCCCGGGAGTCAAACCCAGGTCCTCTGTATTGCGAGGTGAGAGTGCTAACCACAGATGGCTTCACGTCGTGTGCAATGCGTGCAGCCGGCCAACACGTTTCCTGTGCGCTGGCCAGTTCTCGTGATATAAAAAATGAATGAACTCTGTGTCGTCAAGTCACCACCGACGTCACTTCCTGTTTTAAACTAATAGGAAATGACAATTTGTGTATAAAGAAGCACATTATAATCGAGGTGCAGAGTTTACCTCAATGGTAAGGGGAGCTCTGCATTGTCAGGGATGCCATCTTTCATGCCCCCTCTCAATCTGTCGCCTCAAGTGCTTAAAACCTACTTCTTTGACAGTGCATAAGGTCACTTTCCCTTTCTCTCCTCCTTCCTCCCCTCTCCACTGCTCAACATACATAGTTACATAATGATATAACACAGAAGAATGCAATTTAGCCCAACTAATCCATTTCAGTGTTTATACTCCACACAAGTCCCCATCACTCCTATTCCGCTCTCCTAAACTCTTCTATTTCCCTTCTCTCTCATGTACACATAAATTGTACTCTTAAATACGTTGATGCCTTTTGCTTTAACCACAGCTTCCAGCAGTGAGTTCCACATTCTCCTCACCCTCTACCTGAAATTCCGTATTAGATTCTGGCTTAGATGGGAACCTCTATGTTAGAAGGTTGTGGGTTCAAGCCCCATGTCCGTACTTGAATTGTTATTATTATTATAATTAATATCAGTAGATCTACAACATGCTGTCTTATATTTATGTCACCTGGAATTTGTGAGTAAGAGGTTTTGTTTTTTAAAATAAGAAACCAGGGTGATGAATCAAACACCATAGTACAGGTTTGACAGCAATAATAATGTTTACACTTGAAATAGAACTCAAATCACTGAAACTTCTCAAAGTACTTCACAGGGAATTACCCTCAATTGCACAGACTGTTTCTGTAGGTGAATTTGTCAGCCACTTGGCACCAACAGCAAGGTTCGACAAACAGCTTTGAAGTAAGCAATCAATTTAACTGTCAGTTGTTGGCTGGGACACCAAGAGAAACACCCTGTGTTCTTTTTAATAGCATCGCAAGATCTTTTAAAGTCCACCTGAACAGGCAGAGGGGTCTTCGATTTAACGTCTCATCTGATAAGGCAGCCTGGCCCAGACCGTGAGCTCTAAATCCTAACATGGAGCTTGAACTTGCAGGACTAAGGGCAAGGATACACCCAAATGAGCCAAGCTGCCTGCAACATACTACTCTAATAATAATAATAATCCTTGCATTTGATATAGTGCCTGATCACGTTGTTGAGACATCTCAAAGAGCTTCACAGAATATACAGTAAAGAGAATTGACTACATATTTTGTGGGTAAAACTCAGCAGCCGATTGTGCACAGCAGTGTCCCACAAACAGTTGTGAATTGAGTGACCAAATTTTTTTTAAGGGGATATTATCCCCGGAAAAGTGATCTGCCAATCGACTAACACCCGGATTCCTATTTACTGCTAGGTATACATAGGTGTGTAGAGTGAGGAAACTTATTAAGGCTTTGGGCGCCCGGGAATCGAACCAGGGTCGTCTCGCTTGAGAGGCGAGAGCTCTAACCAGTGCACTACACGACTCCACTTGACTAAAGTATGCTTTAGAAGACTTGTGCTTAAATGTATTTTATATATAAAACATAAAGAATGAACAAGGGGAAGTTGAAGCTCCCATGTGATATGATTTTCGTATTTGTTACACAAGTGGAACAGTTCCTCTCTGATACAGAACACAGCAGCTACTTGTAATGCTAGTTTTGCCCTGGGCAAGACTTCTTTACATTCTTCCCGTGTAGACTGCAGACTTGATGCACAGTGCTGGACTGTTTAAAATTATTATTATATTATTATATAATTATCATTATCATATTTATTATTATATATTATATATTATTATAAAAGGGAACACAACTCATAGAGTCCTGTAGTTCAGTGGTTAGAGCACTCGTGATGAGGCGAGACAGAGACCTGGGTTCGATTCTCGGGCAGGGAGAAATGTTGGGCAAGTTTCCTTACTTCACACGCCTCTGTTTACCTAGCAGTAAGTAGGAATCCAGTTGTTAGTTGATTAGTAGATCGCTAGTCCAGGGTAATAATTCCTTCCAAAAGAAAATAATAAAAATTGGCCTCTTCAATGTACAACTGTTTGTTGGACACTGCTGTGTGCAATTGGCTGCTGCATTTCGCCCTCAAAATATACTGTCAATTCACTTTATAGTATATTCTGTGAAACGCTTCGAGATGTCTCGAAAGACGTGTTAAGGCGCTATATCAAATGCAAGGATTATTATTATTACAAACCAACTCATAATCCGGAGCTCTGGTTGGTTTGTAAACCATTAATTTATAACCCGACTAATTAATAAACATACTTACATTTGATGTCTCGCCTCATCACGTCGCCGACATGCCTCACAGCGCTTAATAATCCTTGCATTTGATGTCTTAATACATCACTATAAAGTCTCAAAGCACTTCAAAGGATACACTGCATTCTGTAGTCAAACGTGGCAGCCCACATCAGTGTCCCACAAACAGCCTTGAAGTGAATGACAAATATTACCTGGGGGACTGTTGGCCAGGCCAGGAGAAACTCCCTTCTCTTTTCATATATGCCATGGGCCTCTTTAACGTTCACTTGAACAGGCAGATGGGACCTATGTTTAACATTTCAACTC